TTTTTTTTTTTTTTTTTGCTGTTTCAAAGATATTTTGTAGCTTGCAATGATTCAAACGCCTTCATCGTGTGATAAATTGAGCCACTATCACAACATCAGGCTTCATTCAATTAGCCTGGTCTTTGTGCAAGTTCTACTTCTTGCTGGCAATTTCTACCTCCAGTGGTATTCTATAGACGGCAGTCCCTCCTACAGTTTTGGCCTATATATTAACCTGGTCAATAATAATAACAAATGAAACTGCAAGTTAGAGCAATGAAATTCTAATAGCACTTTACAACTAAAATAATCCGGTTGATGAATGCTAGAAATCTGTACATGACCAATTGTCAGCATATCTAAAATATCGAGTTGTAGAGCAAAAAGCTCCTTCTCAACCCGGCACCTCTTATCTCTCTGTCTCTCTCTCATTCTCTGTAACAATATACACCTCCGCTTGGGTAATGATCGGGAACATCTAAATATAGAAACACAAATGAATCCCAACCGCTGATCTGCCTGCTTAGATCCTTCCAAATCCTCTGTATCCCAGAGGGGAAAAACCTGGTTCCTCCGGTTCTTTCACGTTAGAAAGAAAAAAAGCAGCAATCATGCGGGAGACTTTTATGCTTCAATTATAAGGTCATTGTCATGGATGGTAGGGGGAGATAATGGTGGGACAGCTGGTTCGTGAGGTGCAAACGGAATAATTTCAAGAGTTCTTCTAGCTGTCGCCGGAGACTCTATGTTCCTACCTATCCTCCTTGATGTAAATGATTCAGAAGCAGAAGTTGTCCTTGAGGAATTATTGCTTAGAACGGATGCTAAAAACTTGTCCTTGGAGAGAGATCCTTGAGCAGATGCAATGACAGCACCAAATACACCAGACTCCCTCAAACCCTGAATGATGGTCTGAAACGCGAGCAAGCAACGCAGCTTATATGCAAGTTAAAATGGAAGACGCTTTTTCAAACAAATTGATGAGTTCAGGTAAAGCTTACCATGGGAGCATCTATGCGAGTTAAAATGCCCTTCCTCAACAATTTCAAATTGAGAGTTCTATCAGTCCACACAATATGCTCTCGATACCTGTTGCAGAGAAAAATAAATCAGTTTTGTTTCTTGCGAAGAATACACATATCCAAGAGTTTCGTTTGAAGTATGTTTGTAACACACTCGACGTAATTCATGTACAGCAGAGTGTAACAAGAAAAAACTCGGTATTTCCGACAACTTGGAACATTACCAGTTTAACATCTCCTCCTCTGTGGCAGTAGAAGCAATTATAAATGCCTATAGTCAAATCATAAACACTTGTCAGCATGAATATCAAACTGAAGAGTATATAAAGGATTGTATCAATTTTAAATATATGATAAATATTATTCATACAACGTAGCTATGAGTAAAAAAACTCCTGTTTACGAACACAACTCAAATGAAACAGCCCCTTGGGAATGAGCAAGGATAGAAGGTTGCAGGTTTGCTCCTTGGCCTACAGATATTAGCAGCTGTTTCGTTGTTCCCATCCCCCTCAAGGACTTTTTCATAATGATGAGCATGTTTGGAACCCTATAAATAAAAATATAGAAAGGACCTTTCCTATAATTAAATGAATCTTTCTCATTATAGAAACTTTGATGGAAATCAACTGAACAATATATTTGCAGTTCAGGAAACAGGTTTTCACTAACGGTCCCAAAAGTATTCCATTACAACCTCAAAGTTAGATGAGTTAAGATCTATTTAAATCTTCCGCAAGCTTTTTCTCTGGTGGCAGGGGAGTTCTCTACCATTTGGAATGGAAAGTAGGATTGGGTTAAATCTTAATTCAAGGAAGAATATTAAATGGACCAGTCCAAGGCTATTATCAAACCCCTTACATTAAGCAAAATGGCAATAACCCAAGAGTAGCAGCAGCATGTATAAAGCTCCTATTAAGTGTGAAAATACAGGCACGTTTCACATGGGAACTTCGTCCAAACAGCTATTTTCAAATTTCTATTAAATAATTTAGAATTCTGATGATTGCTTGCATAATTATTTACCGACGACTCATCTACAGATTTAATTCAGAAGCCAAAAAAAAGCTAAAATAAAAGTGAACTGAAAGACATTACATTCATGCAGTGAATAAATGCATTAAGATGGGCTCAATTGACCTTGACATGTCTAGATTGTAACTCAAAAGTCAAAACAATTTTAAAATGATGCTTATTATTGAAAGAGAAAGTATGGAAATTCAATGCAAGATCATTATTGCAACTTCAAATTTATCATACTAAGTCGTAGGTTTTTCTTTTAGGTACATGAAAGAAATGCTTATTTAACACAATAGAACAAGTATTTATATAATTCTAAAGTAAATTATTTAGTCAGTGTTTCTGAGCAACAAAATCTCATCTGAGCACTTGAATTTCAAGATAATTATTTTAATGAAATGAGAGCACTTTTTGCATCCATAACAATTAATAGATTAATTACATCTATTAACTGCTGCAATTTTTTGCTTAGTTGTTGTCATAAATTGTACAACAATTATGGCGTGATTTCCTAACCAAACACACTTGCGAATTCCTTAGCACGCAAGTTGTACTTAAACCTGTTAAAAAGGCTTTCGGCTAGGATAAATAGATGTCCATTGTGCCAGTATTTAGTAGAAATTAACTAAACCAACAACAAAGGAAAAAAATGCAAGTACACAATACTCACAGCTCTATCAAATTCCAACATAAAGCATCGCTTGACATCCTCCTTTGTAGGCTTACAACCACATCGATCCCGCCTAGAAGTCAAGTCAGAAAACTTGGAATATGTATAATGTAAAACAGCAGCCTCTTCCAATTTGATCTCGCTGTCAAACAATATGTAAAAACATGTGTAAAAGCCAATTGAACAGAATACAGCTGTGTGGTCCAATGTCAACTTGGCATAACATGAAAACAGAAAGATAGTAGAGCATATTGGATCATATAGTACAACAAAATACTGAATGCTTTAAAGAAGTGCATACAACATCTGTATGCATAAATAGAGCAACTTACTTTGGAGTTTTCATGTAATTGTGCCATCTGTGTGCACCATTGGGACGAAGATGGTCTTGGACTCGAGCAGCTGATTTCCCATTTCCGTAGGTCAAAAAGTAGTTTGGATTGCCACGGGTCGACTCCTTATACATGCCAAAATAAGTGTCCTTTGTTAAATGATCATAATTCTTCTTGAACATTGATACCTGAACAACAGATACACAAGAAATGAAATGAAAATAGAATCAGTTCTAATAAATTAATGCTCAAATCAGTGAAGATATCATGGTATGAAGAGGCTTTCTGGCACAAATATATGTTAAACAGTCCACAGTCTACTTACCGAAGCAGATTTTGGGATGGGGGTGGGGTATAAATAGTTGATAAAAGCTACCATACATAAGGGAAAAAAATTAACACGACACAATTCCAGCTTTACTTACATTGTACTCCATATATTCCTTTACTTGCAATATTTATAAGCCGAAAAAAATAAAAAATAAAATAAAATTGTATAACTCTGCAGGTGACAGTGCAAGTAAATCTAGAAACTAGAAGTGCAAAAGTTACCTCCGTGAAAGGTTCCTTGATGTCATCTCGTTCAACGCTGCTCTCCTGAAAAGGGAAAAAAAACATGGTGAAACTTGAAAAGATCACAGACATGTCTCTTTTTTCTTTTCCAATTTGTTTTGTAAGTTAAGCTGGATAGTTTCAATCGTGCCAAGAATACGGTGAGCACAAATAACAGAGAATTTTATGTATATCTCCGCCACCGAAACAAAGAGACACCAAATTACTTACATAATTGGGGAAGATAACCATGTCCACATTCCCAGGCAAGTCAAGTAGCAATTGCCTCAAAGAATACTCCCGAGCACCAGCTGGATGTAACAATTCATCAGTGTCCAGATGAATTATCCAGTCAACACCAGCATCCTAGAATTATAATATACAGAATATTGATCAGCTCTACAAGAAAAAAAGTACATTTCTGTCACATTTGTAATAATCCATACCCTTGCCATGACAATTGCCATCTCCATGTTGAGAGATTGCTTCACAAAAAGCTCATAATTGCAAGGCTTGTAGAAGAAACTTGACAGCCATGTTTCATTCCAGATCCGGCTGAAGCATCAGGGACAAATAGAGTAAGAGCATTGTTTGTTTAGGATTAAAAAAGTGTTAAAATGCATCCAATGAACCATTAGTTCATATTGTCTGTCTCATATAAGCTATCTACGCTTTCAAGCAAGCTTCAGACACATCAGAAGTGACTGACCTCCTAGCTTGTTGCTCTTCCAGCTCTTTGGTTCGGTATATTACTTTCACTCCCTGCAAGGATAAACATATTTTGTAACCCATTGATTTTGATATGATAACATTATACTGTTAACATGGAATAACATAACAATCAGATTGAAGTGACAGCTAACACAAATCCTGAAAAGATATCATCACGATAAGTTATCGGGTAATCTAGTCCCTATCCGACGTGTACTTTGAGAAAAATAGATGGGGCGAGTTTAGGCATGAGGCAAGGTTCTCTCAGAGACCAAACACCAAACGGAAGCCACAAAACAGTCTTAAGACTTGACAAAAGAAGCTCCATTTAACTTCTTTTCTCACATGCTACCCACCAAATCACTTGGTCACGTGTACAAAGGCAGCTACTGTTGGGTAGGTTAAATTTTAAGCTCCTAAAAGCATCTCCAAAAGGCTCTCTAAATACAAGATAATCTCTATTTTAAATCGATGCTTAAAAATAAGCTTCAAGAAACTCTATATAATTTTAAAAAATAAATAGTGGGTTTGGCTTTCCAAATTTGAAGAGCCAAACTCACTCTCCATTTTTACTTTATAATTATTTAATTTAATAAGCTACAGATTTTAATAATCTATTTCTTAAATTGTTCGAATTTTAATTGAACTGATTAGCTATTGATATTTAAAAATATGTTAAATAAAAAATGAGTAGAAATCAATAAATATTTCTTGAAAAAAACAAAATAAAGAACGTTGTTGAAATACTCACTAAATTTAAGGCCATGTTTGTTTCTGATTAAAATCAGATTTTAATATAAATCAAAGTTAAACAATCAATATTAACCACATCTTCCGTGAGTCTCGCAGCTTTTCAACAACAAATTTCAAAAACTTCTATCACAATCTACTAAAAATCTAATTTTAATCTCCATCAAACACCCTCTAAATATGCCCTCTATTGTACATATGATACTATTTATAAATAATCTTTTGGAGATGTTCTAAAGGATTAGCAGAATGACTATTCTACCTTTCCTAAGGCAGAGAAAAGGTAAATTATAACACTTCCAAATTTCAGAAGTAAAACTAAGCTTTTATATAAAAATAAATAAAAATAATCACCCCTCCAATAAATTTCCTTTTGAATATACTAAGACCAGATATATTTTTTCATATTCAAAGTCACCCTACAATAAGGGCTCATTCAGCATTTTATTGAGATGAAGCTATCCGTTGTATATTACAAATTAACAGACTACTTAGTATTTTTTCGGGAATATTAATTATAATAACCCAATCTCTTACGTACTGTCCACTATAGAAGAGCTTAACCAATCTTACCCCTCACGGATTTCTATCGCGTCCCTCAGATTCGAACTCAAAACCTCTATTTTACGATAGACTTAAATTGAATTCTGGTATCAATTGTCAGATTAAATCAACTAATTAGAAATTCTCTGTAAGAATACTACAGCCAATATTACTTATACAATCATAACCCATCAATAGGTTCTTGGAAGTAATGTTCTGGCTAGGGTTTGGGAGTTTGCAGCAGAAATCCAGTTACAGTGTTACACAGAGGGATCTGGTTACAAGAAGTTACAAAAGGGTCATGCTTATAAACGTGTAACTTCAGGTGTACCTATTTATCACTGAAAAGATTGTTCACTTATGTGTTCTTTACTCACAAAGAAGCATTTGGTGGAGCAGTTTAGTATTTTATTAGTCACACCAAGTGACTTTTTCGAGCCCAAATACCAGTCCTGTCCTCTGGTCACATTTCTTTGTAGTGTCCATCTCTCCACTGTGTTTAAAGGACACGTAATGGGTTTTTCTTTATTTCGTTTGTGGTAGAAACAACAAAACATACGAGAGTGTTTCACTATGCAGTGTTTATGCAGATTAAATCATGAACCCGAAAGTGTATAACTAATCTTACAAAGCTGCAAAAGAAACCGACTAGACAGGATACAAACTCACAGGAATGGATTCAAGGACTTTGGACACAGCAGGGGATGCAGCCTTCCCTTCAACAAAAAGAAAAAAGGTTGACACCCCAACAACTTTATGGTAGAACATCCATGGCAAAATCTGCTCTAAGCCAGCAGATGTACTTGTTGTAATACATATCTGCAAATAATGGAGGAATATAATAAGGTCATTACCAATCATTCGAACTGAAACTAGAGTTACTAGAAAACAAAATTTACAATGAAATCAATTCTGGAATGTGAAGAACTGGGGTCAATCATAAGTGCAATTTGTCTTTGGCGGGTAAATCGCCATGAGAAAAGGGACATCCATTGTGTATTTTGTGATTGGATGTAGCTGTTAATTGGTATAAGATTATCATGACAAGTATATCCTGCCAATATTTCAATGCAATAACAAATGTGCGTCAAAACCTAAGCCAATTCTCTTCGTGGATAATTCTCAACTCAATGATTATTTATTATTGCTACAATCTCATTCTCAATTTGAGGATAGGCTTCATATAAACTTCAAAAGAGACCATATGGCATGAAAGAAATGTGATACCAGTGCCATCTGTTTCAAAAGCTGAAAAAGTCCTATCATCCCATGATTTATAAAGGCGATTACAAATAGTAACAGCTATGGTTTTATGTAAACATCTCTAACTCCATGTACTCGAAAAAGAAATAGAACTCCTAGTTCTTGGGAAAGAAGTGCGCCTCCCCCTAATCCTAAAATGAAGTATCTTTCAAAAGATTTACTTTGCACTTTGCATTAAATGCAAAAATGAAGACTATATTAACCCATCAGTATCCAAAAATCATGAAATCAAAGAAATAAGTCTAACCAGTTGCATTATTAGCCCTGAAAATCCAGAAATGCTATAAAAACAAGATTTCTGTTTAATTTTCTTGAACCCAGATGCGAGACCCAAAAACATAAGTCATAAAAACAAGCAAAATTCAAATCACAATAGCCATGATCACAAAACCTCAATGACAGATGACCTCAAAAAACATGCAAGAAATACAAAAATAAAATAAAAAAAAAACAGATCAGACCTTGGGCTTCAGATCGGACTCAAAATTAAATTTCCAGTCTCTGAAGTAAGGAAACGACGCCGTGTTGGAGTGTCCCAACAGCATAGAACAATCAGAGGAATGCGAAGAAGATGAGTGTCCCACGGTGGCCAGAGGGGAGGAGTCCATACCAGGGAACTTATGGGACTCATCGGGCGACCATCGGGAGATTGGATCGTCGACGCCACCGCCTCGCCACTGAAGGAAGAAAGCAAAAAGAGCAAGCGATAGAGGGAGAAGGGTCAGGAGGAGGAGAAGCTTCGCGATGAAGGAGTGGTTGTTGGCGGCGGAAGACANNGAGTGGTTGTTGGCGGCGGAAGACAGTGGTTGCGGCCTCAGGGAGGTATGCAGACCCACCATTGGAGTAGGACTGTTGGAAAATCAAAAAAATGGGCAGGCCAGTTTTGGTGCGGGGAGTGGTTATATAAAATTATAAATTCAAAATTTGGTAGAAAATAAAAAGAAATTTTGAGGTGGTTCAAAAAGATTTGATGCAGCCATTTAATTGTAAATTTAAATTTAGGGAAATTTGGCCAAATAGTATGGTTGGACAATGAATTTGGATAAATGGCCTTGGACCAATATTAAAACAAAATAAAAAAATTTAAAATGTTTTAATTGGTAAAATGACAAAGTTGCCCTTCAATTTATATCAAAATATTCACCAAATTTCTTTCATTTCACCTTTTTTTTTTCTTCATTTTCACTTTAAAACTATATTCCCAAATTTGAATTCTAACATCGTCTTCTTCACATTAGTTTTCGGTACATTTCAAGATTATCAAAATCTTTTTCTTTGATTCAAGTTTATTTCACATTACTCTCTTTGGCAAGAGATATTACAACAACAAAAAAGTAATTCTTTCCTCCAATTTTTTTTTTTTTTTTTTCATTTTGAAATGTAATTTTGTGCTTCCATTGGTCTAAGTTTTGAATGAAAAAGTGTAAACAAGGCATCTTTTATGATTTTACAGTTTACTTGTATGTTTAATTTAATTTAATTTGAGTTTTTTTAATGTGGATGACTTTTTGATACATTTGGGGTTTTGAAGATGATGGGTTAAAAAGAAATTATTATATTAATAGTAAAGTATTCACCAAATTTCATTTATCCTTCTTTCTTCTTCTCAATTTCACTGTGAAACTATTTTCTCTAAATTTAAAACGAACATCTACTTCTTCACCTCAATTTCTTGTGCATTTCACGATTACAACAAAATTCTTCTTCCATTCAAGTTTATTCTACACTACTTCATCTCTCTTTGTTACAAATTGGTACAATAAAAATATAATTTTTCCTTCAAATTTTCTTCATTTTGAAATGTAATTTTGTGCTTCAATTGGACAAATGACATGAAAAGTATTAAAAAAAAAAATGGATTATTTATGATTTCATAGTTTTTTTTTGTATAGTTTTAGTTGAGTTTTTTTAATATTGATGAATTTTTGATACATATGGAATTTTGAAGATAATGGATTTGAGGAATTCATCTATTAGCATTGTTATAAACAAAAATTGTGTCAATAACATGATAAAGAAATTACTAATAAAATTTATCAATGAAGTCCCTTTGTTGTTTTGATATATTGTAAATATGTGATGTAATGGATTAGTGATTTGTTTCTCATATTAGTTCTCTTTTAACCGTAAAATTGATTTTTTCATGTTTATTTTGTATTCCTTGTTGCAGTAATAACAGTTATTTTAGATTATTGAAATTCACTAATTTGGATGGGGTATTTGAAGGGTATTGGAGTTAAGTTAATCAATTGTATAGAGAAGATATGTACATGGATGTTTGGATGTGGATTAAGGTTTGAATTTTTCGAGGAAAGATTGAAAGTCATTAAAAGTGAGTGAGGTAAAAGCCTTGCTGCAATATCTTCTCGCTCGAGTGAATAACAGAGGCAAGATTTATCAGTGGCAAGAAAATCTTACCTCTAACTATTTAAGCAAAGAACAGAAGTAGGAAGGGCACCTCTTGTATCTTGCAGAAAATTTATTTTGAATTCCTAAACATGAAACATCACCTCTTTTGTGGGGGAAACACAGTACTACAAGATATAGACATTGAGATTTTGATCTTTCAATACCTTCGAATTTTAAATACTAGTTTTATATTTTGTTCTTGTTTCTTCTGAGAGTATTTGTTTATTTGCTTGGCATTAGTTCATTAAGGATTGATTAATTCTTGATATTTGCTACAATATTATATGTGTTGGTTGGATATTCTAACGCTTCAACATTGACAGGCCATGGTTGATGTCGACAAAGAAGTTGGAGCTTATGCTATTTCTCTTTATTGATGTCAATTGATTTGNTGATGTCGACAAAGAAGTTGGAGCTGATGTTATTTCTCTTTATTGATGTCAATAGATTTGATTCGGTCTTTTCAGATTATAGTTTCTTTTATTCATTGTCTTTCTATTATTATTCATTTAAGATGTTTTATTTTAATTTGTATATCAGGTACTCATTGAATAAGATTCAAATCAATGAAGTCCTTCGAGTGAGTTGTTTGATTATAGCTCATAGGGAAAGTAATGATGAAGGCATTAGGTTACGATAGTTTTTCCAGCGAAGGTTTGAACTACATATCCCTACAAAAGTCATAGAGTTGGGTTCTCATCACAAAGCACGTTCATAGTGGAACTTTTGAAAAGTCTTTAGGATTTGTGTCTCTATTAAAGTTTGTTGTTGCTCAAATTATAGATAATCATTAATGTTAAATGTGTAAGCACAAGGTATAGGAAGAAATAGAATCAGAAGTGTAAGGAAAATGGATTATTTCTTATCTTTATTAGAAAATATAAAATAACAAATATTCTCTAAGTTAGATTATGTAAGTTAAATATTTACAAGCGTCAGTGCTTAGGATATAAGTGTCATTACAAGATTTATGATCGTCCATGAGAACGACACGAATGTCGTTATTGAAATGAAAACGTTCTTGAGAACAACAAAAGTGCCGTTATCGACTTATAAAAGTCAATTATATCATTTCAAGAGTTCTTTATCACATGTCCATTGCAGCATTGCTTGAGGTCGTTAGGTTAGAAACAAATCAAAATTTAGGAGAAAATAATAGAACAACACAAGTGTTGTTACATAGAAGAAAATGAACATTGTGTCGCTCTATTTGTAAACACAATCGTAAGCAGCAACTGAAATAAAAATGTCCCTTGTGCCATTTTATCTATAAACATGAGAACGGTCCTTGTACCATTCTAAGATGAGAATGTCTATTGAAATGGTACAATTATCTTTTTGTGAGAAGTGTGTTTTATACACTTATTCGGGCTCCAAAATATTGGCATTTCGTAATTTTTTTAATGAAATTATAGCCTAATTTATTATATAATTTGGTATTAGGTGAAACTCAATGAATGGAAGTGAAATTGAAAGAAAGAAGTGAAAATGGCAAGATCCAAATCTTGGGGGTTAAAGTGCAAATATCCAAAAGCGGTGTCGAAGCTCACGATAAAGATTCAAGAATATTAGAGGTCAAATGGATACAACTAAAGATCAAAATGAGTGAAAAGAAATCAATTTTCAACCGCGCAAGGTGTCCAAATATTTAGTTGGAGATTGAGACCCATTTTTGTCCCATTAAACGTTCGAATTGAAAAGGTATTTCTATCAAAGTTTTAGATTATTGAGTTATCTTTCCAACACATTTCGAATCGCTTTAATCGGATATCGGGAGAAAACGTTATAATAAAAATACTAAAGCAGATGCAAAGTGAATAGCAACTCAGCGCCATAAACACAGCGCCCAAGCGTCGCACTTTTCAAAATTTTACAAATTTGCAGTGCCCAGACGCTGCAATAGTGGCGTCTAGGCGTTGCTCCGTCAATTTTTAGTTTTTGTTGTTTGGAGTGCGAGAAACCCACAAAAAGACTCCAATTTGGCCAATGACATGTAGGAAAGTATAAATATACCTAATGAGGCATAAAAAAGGGTTCCCACACATTAAAAAGAGGGTACATATTATCTTTCAACCTTGGACTCGAGAAATAATTAGTTCGAATAAGTTATGTCCGTGTTATTGAGGTTGAAAGATATTACCTTAATTTGTAATTAATTAAGTTAATATTGATTCAAAATCTTTCCAATTCCCACGTGTACTTCTAGTGAAATAGAGAAATTTTTTTTTTTTTAATTCGTCATGAATTTTATTTGATGTGTAGATTATATTGGAGAAATAAAGTATTTTTTTTTTAAGGTTTGAATGATCTATTATATAATATATTTTGGGCAATTTTCTTGGCATAGTACACGGTAATCATGACTTTGCGTTAGCTGTCCTTGGTTTGAAATTAGATAAATTGCCTTGTTTGAGTTTGAAATGAATTTCAGATACGTGCATAATTAAAAGACAAACCAGTAAATTGAGCCAATTACATGGAAAATGTGTGGCTGTATGAGATAATGTAAATATTTTGGATGGTATACACATAATGAAATTTTGTCTACCTTAAAGGCCTGTCTGTTTGTGTTTTTCCCCCAGATTTGAAGTGTTTTTCTTCCCATTGGTAGCCGTAAATTTTGACTTTTATCTCACAATTTACTTTTGCAACGGTCTAAATATTACTACCAATTGTGGCAAAAAGTGCTGCCAGACAACCCCTAAATAAATATTTCGAGTTAGGAATAAAAGATTGTGATATGTTTACTAGAGCAAAACAAGGAAAGGGATATACACGCACTACATTGGAGAAAAAACCATGGAACGTGATAAGTGTATTTTTATACACTTATTTAATACCTAAATATGCTTATTATTGATAAAAATTAGTAAATTTCTACTCACAATTATATGATTATTGCTTTTGTAGGTAAAAATTACATAAAGAAATAGAACATGCAAAAAGGAGGAGAATATGACCAAATTTATGCAAAATTATGAATTTGAGGACCAAAATGAATAAGTCCATAAAGGTGAAGGACCTTGGATGCAATTTGTGGTTGGCGTAAATGCAAGAAAAGTCAAACGTTGAGGATCAAATTGTACTAACTTAAAGTTGAGAGACCTTGAAGACAAATTACTAGAGAATTTGTGTGCAAAAAGAAAAAAAAAATGATGAAAATATGAAGCATTGACAGAGAAGTGGCGCCATTTTAAAAGTAAGGAGACTGTTTTTGTTATTTTCTCAAAATTTGGGAACTTCATTGTTATTTTTGTAGGTTTTTAATATAAAAACCGGCCACCACTATGTGCTGCAGGTCCTCTGACTCTTTTTTCTTTTTTTCATTCCTCATTTTTTTTTCATCTTTCTTTTTCTTTTCATTTTTACTTGTGATTTTTGGGAAAAAATTATAGAGCGCACAAGGAGAATATATCAAGAAATGTGGAAA